TTTATCAGTGCCTGTTGTGACAGGACAAGGGCTGTCAAAGAGGACAGATTTAGACAAGATATAAGGAAGAAATTTTTTTCAGTGAGGATAATCCAGTGAGTGGATTAGAAACTGGAAGAAAGGCTGCTCTATTTTGACTTTGTTCAGCGTGGTGCTCATCACTGCAGCATCCAAACGACCTTCACAGTTTGTCTTAATATCGAGGATCACACACAGGGTCCATGGGCTGGCAAATAAACTCAGACTCTGAGTTTCACTCCATTATTTTAACACCAAACCCGTCCCTCCCACCCATTACAGCCACATTTCTAAGGGATCACCCCTGTCAAGACAGGATGACATCAAGAGCAAAACGCAGCCATCAGCTCAGCCCCCGAAGGGACAGGGATGTTAACTTACATTTGTTCTCTCCTGCTGGCTCCCATATTTACTGTACTCCTCATTTTCAACTCTCTAACTTCAGCTAAGCCATTCAGCCCAGCCTGCTTCCTTCCCAAGGTACCATCAGTCAAACCCAAGCACATCATTTTATCTCTCGGTTACTAAACTCAAACCATTTTAAACATCCTGCTTTCATCTTTGGAGCTCTCTCCCACTTTTTAACTGTGCTGCAGTTACAGAAGAATGTACTTGACATATAAAACGTGCATGTGATTCCTTTAACATTTTAATGCCGTGTATTGTGTTGTAAACATCTCTTCATGTTTTATCTCCTTCTCCATAAATCAGAGCCGACTATCTTAGAAGTCTCAAAAATGACATGTTTTCTCCCTAATATAAATGTAAGGCTCCACTCCTTGAAACTTGAGTCAGCTCTCAAAAATCATCAAAAACCAGAGCTACGAGAAAGTAAAAGATTATCAACTAACTTAATATAATTTTCCCCTGCTCCATTTCTATGACAGCCTGGATTATGGGAAAAAATAAGTTGCAAAAGTGGTCTTCCCCTATCAGAAAACAGAGGTTTTGCTTATTCTGTTTTGTGACTTGTAAGGAGCAACACTTCTTGTGTATCCATACCAGCACACAACCCTAAAAGAGTCAGGAATATAGACAGCATAAAAGTGATATACTAGGAATAATTATTTGTTCAAGATTATCATGCAGATGAAATCCCAGAACATATTTCCATTTCCTTACCACAACTGCAAATAATAAGGCTGATCCTTTTTAATGAGATTTTCTGGAAGTTTTGGCTAGCTTAGGAATGGTACAGACAAAATGTGTCTCAACCTCTTCCTTGGTAAGTGCATTAAGTGCCTGTTTTGGTTTTTTTTTTAAATTAAACCCCACTGTAAAATACCGCTTATTTTCAAAAGGCAGAACACCAATAAAAAACACCTGTCCGGAATAATTTTAAGTTACTTCGAGGATGGGAAAGAAGAAAGAATGCCATTAGAAAAAGAGGGAAGAAAAGAGAAAAAAAAAAAAAAAAAAGGAGGAGGCAAGCAGTTTTAGCAGGTGGGGCTGAGAAGTGGTGACATGTTGTAGTACAATTCCGAAGGGCCGGAGGACATAACGCGGTGTCGGGTGATGGGGAAGAGCAGCGGCTGTGGGAGCCGCGGCGATGCTGGATGAGGTGCGAGGTACAGCCCTGAAGGATTGTGATAGCCAGGGGTGAGGCAGAGGCAGAACTGCTGCTGGAGGACAGGGCAAACAAAACACTCTCTGCTCCCCGGCACCTTCCCGCGGGAGTTTCCTCCCTCGCAGCCCACAGACCCCACCGCGCTGCACAGGAAAACCCGGGGACCCGCCGATATTTATCCACAGCCCCGGAATTCACAGCATTTTCCTCCGGCCTGGGAGAGTCTGTCCCTCTCAAACTACTGTCTGACATAAATTATTCCAAGATTCTTCTCCTGACATTTTCCTACACAAATGTTTCCAGGAGGACCTTGCTGTACAACAGGCACCACGTTTCCCCCTTTGTATCTTTTTTTGTCCGTATTTTCTGGGGCGTTTTCCAACACAACTTTTTCACCCTCGAGTCACAAAACAGTAAGCCACCAGATTCTTAAAAATCATTACCCAATTTCACAGAATCGCCATCAAAATACATTCTTTCTATTTGCACATTTAGAATTTAGAACCTGTGGGCTGTGAAACTTGTTTGTAAACACACACCTGTGGTTGATAAACATCCAGACTGTACTTCTATAAACAATTAAAAAATACAAAGTTACCAGTTTACATCAGGCTTTTTAATTGCTTTCATGTTAAAGACAGTGAAAGTGGGGTAAGAACCCCCACTTGGGCACATTTTTGTAACTTTCTGGCTCTTGCAGCCAGGAAAAAATAGGTTTAAAGTATGACATACAACCATCTGAAATCAAGGAGAAAGTGATAATTAAAAGATTATTTCAGACCAACTTTACAAAAGAAAAAAAACCACCCCAATGTTTTGGTCTCTGTGCATTACTTAACACAGGCCTGGCTCACTCCCATTAGTTAAGTCAACTTAAATAGCTAATTCAGCTTAATTCACTGGGGGTAAAACCCTCTCAGCTCCCACCAGATTGCTAAAATCAACTGGTAGATAGAGGGGAAAAAAGGATAAAAAAACCCCCAAATCACAGCATTTGAACAGTCAAAAGTTTGTATCAATACTTCCACGAGTGTTATAGAATCTTTATTACATTTTCGCAGGACCAGGCTCCTCACATCCTGCCCTAAATCACGGGCAAGAATCTTACACAGTCGACACTTCACCTTCCCACGACATATTTGGGGACTGTAAATCGTGCACACAGATTTATCAGGGAAACGAGGAGTGGGAAAGATGAGCTGCCCTTAAAGATGTACAGATTTATGGCAATATGGGAAGTGGGAAGACGGTTATCATATAAAAAGGTCCTTAAGGGATGGCAAGGAGCACCGAGGGAAACATGAGTCATGAGCTGCCAGAGAAGTGGATGCGTATGGGGAGCAATGGACAGAGCAAAGTAGCAATAAAGGAAGTTCCAAGTCAAATGTGCTCCTTCCCAAAGGTCGAGACGGATACCCAAGCTTAAAGTATTTATGGAAAATTAAATTCCCAGCCGGTTCAGACGCAGCAACACCGGGAAAGGGACACTCAGCCACTGAAAGGATCCATTGATAAACAAGGTCATAGAGCAGGGCTCTTTCCCTTTGCCTCGTTACCAACTCTGCTCCTTTATTTTCTTTACTTGGAGTAGTTGCCTTGGAGGTCTCTCTACACAGGCAAGTGGCTGAACATGAGCAAATGTGCGAATTTAAAGTGTTCAGCTGAGATTGATAAAGAAACTTTGTGAGGTTGGAGAAACTTGCAGTGAATAAACAGTGAATTACAAGCCCAAGCACAAAGTCACTGCACTCCTGACTTCCCCTTCCTATCCCAACAAGGCTCAGAAGTGTCCAACTGCAAATTACACCACAGGACTCCTGGTCCTCCCAAGTAATTGAGTATTTTAAAAAGTGGCTTCCAAGAGCTTAAAGAATTGCTACTTTTGGGACAAAATATACTGGGCAACACACGGATACTGAAACAAAGAACACCAGTTATTTGTTTGTCAATGTCACCTCTAGGAAAACCTATCAAAATCTCAAGGCAAGTTGCACAGGAAACTCTAAATAAGCAATAACTGGTTCTCTTAGTCCAGTAGTATCCATACCAAAGGTGACAGTAAGTTTGACAGTAAATATTTCAAAGGATAACTCCCAAATGCAGTTTTTAATATTAAAAAGGCAGTAAAGCAAAAAAGGGAAGTAAAAAGTGCACCTCTAAAATTGTATCAAACCCCAAGAAAGCTTCACCTTAGTTATGACAGCTTTTCTACCCAGCCTTTGTGTGAAAAACATGTAATGATAACCAAATGTATTCCTCAGAAAATAGTGTGACTTACTTAAAATTATTTTTAAGGCTACCTAGGTGTTTTCAAGTTAGGCAAGCTACATAAATATTTCCAAGCAAGTAAAAACCACGCAGCATCCTTCCAATTTTGCAGAGAAAACAGACACAAAGTTAGCTGCCTGCCCCAGTTTTAAGCTCAGTGAAAACAAACAGTAAAACCTGCAAAAACAATAAACAGGACTTATTTCAGGCTGAGTAAGATGTGTGCTGATGGGTGCAAGCCCAGAAATCACACTGAGTACCTACAACTGAGGTGTTCCAAGGTGTAAACATCAGAGCCCAAATCAACCAAGGTGAGTCGACCAGGAAACCTCCATTATTGGGGTCCCAGGACTCACAAGTGATTGCTGAAAACATGAAGTCCCATAAAGGTGGCACTGCTGCTGCTCCTTCTTTTTCCAGGCCATATTTACAACCGAGAGTGACTGTGGCTACTACGCTTTGTAACTCAGTTCATCACAACTGTTGTTACCTGTTCATTGCTTGAGCTTTCCTTTGGGGTGTAGGAAGAGCCCAGCAGCAACTTTGCTTCCCAGCTGGAGTGCAGGAGAGTTAAGATCAGCATCAAGCTCCACAGGCATGTTGACCCATGAAGGGAAGTTCAGGCACTGGAACATCGTCATGGAACAACCTCCACACAGTGGAGATTTTCAGTGCATTCTGCAGATGTGCAGGAGATACCCTGGACAAAAACCCCACCAAAATCCCACTACTGACATTTAGAGAGGTGCTCTGAGCCACATTTTTTACACAGATCCAACAAGGTCATGCAATAACTCATCCAAAGAACCAGGCCCGTGAGGCTGGAGCCCTGCTGGCTATTCTTACACTCCAATTACCCAGTTCTTCCTCTGTCATTTTCAGGGATCCAGGCTTGGTATTACCAAGATAAACATTATTATTGGGAGGCTTAAAACCTCATCAACTCCATTCTGTATAAACAACAGTGTGCCTAGCAACTCCCCTTGAATTCCCAGGCACACACTCCTTTCGTGGTGTCAGTTTTAGCAGCCCAGAGCTCACACGGCAGCTGAAGGCACAGCACTCCCAGCCATCCAGTCACGCTCCCTGGCAGCGTTTCAGGAGCCAGGATGACACCAGCTTGCTGTTCAGATGAGGATGGACTGACCTGGTTGATGGAGTTGGCAGCACAGGACGCCAGGCCAGTTCCAAGGGAGGCCAGCAGGAAACAGGGCAGGTCAAAAGGGACCGGGGCCATGGCAAAGCCGGCGGACGCGGTGCTGACGACCAGAGCTGCAACACAGTGAGAGCAACAGGTCAGAGCACCCACCAGAAACCACCTCCTTTGTGCACAACACTACAATTAAGGCTTTCAGACTCTAAGAACCCATGTGCAGGTTAAGTTTTTGCTACTTTTATGGATCACAGTAGCTCCAGGAACTGAGTACAGTTAATAATAATATTCTACATGGAGAAGTCAAAAATCAGAAGAACTGCCAGGGATGAAACAAGAGCCCCAGAAAGATCAGCACATTAGTAGAAGAGGTGAGAATAAAAAGCCACAGAATATTCTGAGTAAACATTCCACAGGATGTGCTATCCTGATGAAATTAAGTTCTTCAGTCTGAGCAGGCTGAGCTTTGCTGGTTGGGCCGTCAACCTCACCGGGAAACCCACCAGAAAATACACTGTTCAACACCTGAGCTCCTGCCAGTTGATTGCCCTCCAAATTATGTATTATTTTCAGTCTCAACCTTAGTTATTCATCAATTTTTTCAAACAATAAAAGAACGTCCTCAAATCTGAAGGTTTGGTAGGTAAACAAAAGGTGGAAAAAAGAGGTAGAAAAGAACTTAAACAGCAACACCTGTGGGATGGAAAGCTCTGGGATGAGCCCTTAACCTTTGCAAAGCATCAGCTGAAACAGGAAAAGGTGAGGGTAACTGAAAAGACAAGTGTCAGACAAGCCTCATTTATGTCTCTGCATTCCCTATTTTATGGATTTGCCCCAGGACCAAACTGCGCCACTCAACATGTTCATGTTCCAGGAACTCAAGTGTCACTGCAACGTCTAACGGGGAAGAAAAACAGTAAGAAAAATCCCCAAATGAGATAGATGTTTTATATCAAATGAGAGCAGGAATTTAAGCAGTGCAGAGCTAAAAGGAGACTCAGGGCATGTAGCTACAGTAATTTCACTGCAAACCTCTGCTCCCACTTGACTTGCCCATTTTGGGCTGAAGGCACAATCACATCATCTCAAGGACCCAGCGGCATTTACAGGCCTCAAAATTTGAGTGCATTCACAAAAATCCATTTCAGTGTTGTCATCCAAAATTATAACTTTTGTACAGCACTACAAATCACATCCCTAAAATGAAAGTTACCTAACTCTCAATCCTAATATTGTAATTTGCCAAATAATAGGTCTCACGAACATCACTTTTGGCAAGAAATAATATGACATGGCAAATTTCTTATACTATAAAAGTCAGCACACTTCTGGAATATCTTCCTCATGACCTTGAGCCTTACAACTGAAATTAACAGCTATTAAACAGAAAGTATTTAAATTATATTCTGCATGTAATTACATGTTCCAGAACTCAGCCAGCTCAAATCAAAGCACCAAAATGTTCTTATCTTCCTGAGTCCTACAAAGTCTACCATTTGTCTGAAGCTAAATACAAATAAATAACCCCTGCTGACTGAAAATACCTGGATTATCTATTAAGCAGTGTTACTTGAGATGAAAAACTAAATGTCATGGCAGCGACCTGCCAGCAAGGATGCAAAGTGCTCATTTTAAGAGCTGTGCCTGCATAAGAACCTGAGGATTTAATACTAAAAAAGACAGTGAAGAAAACTTGCTGCTCATCAAAACTTTTCTCTAAGCATTAAAATCCATTGGTGATTGAATATTATTATAAGAATATACATAATATTATTATCAGCATTTATTATTTAGCCTTGTTAGGGAGTCACAGGCTACTTCTAAAATGCAGTGGATCTGTGACAGAGCTTTACCCTCTGAGCAGCTCTGAAACAACCACAGATTCTGCTGCCCCACCAGACACACAGATATGAAGGTACTGATTGTTCTGAAAGGCTGGACCCATTTATTATATAAATACCACACCATCTTAGCTCCCAAACTTCTCGGTGGAGTGCACATGAAAACATCAAATGCATTGGTACAACTGAAGAGTTAAAAAACGCACTGGAAATGACAGTGAACGGTGGCGTTTGCATTTCTAAGAGTGATTACATTCATTTTTTTGCATAATAAATCACACACTCATTTCCAGACAAGAATTTAATTAAAACTTATCTTAGAGAGCACTTTACACCAATTTATTATGGGAAAACACCAGCTCATTTACTGGAGAAGAAAGGTGGAGCAGATTGGCAAACAGTCAGTGTAACATTAGCACTACCCTGACCCCAAAGAAATTCGAATACTGTACAGCTACAGCACTAATTAAAGTCCCCATTGATTTCTCCAGATTAATTTCAGCCAGTCATTTTAGTTTGACTTATCAGGAGCTCATTTAGAAAGGTTGCAGTACATCCTCTCCCCTATCCCATCTTAAAGCAGGTATTTTCTGTTGTCTGGGCAGGGTTTGCACACCAGGCATTCCCTGCTTCCCTCACTGCCCAAATATTCCAATGCAACACATCAGCAGTAAATAGGAAAATGCTCCCTTTGGACTGGGAAGTTTATTTTCTTTAACTGTGGAAGCAATAATTTACTCTTCAACTTCCCTCGTGGAGGAAAAGTATATTTAATTGAGATCACATCAAGGGAATGAGGTCATTGACTCTGTTTGTTTTTTAATCCCTGTTAGTTTAGTGCTTTAGGGGCCAAATTAACTTCACCTTATTGCATAATAGATGGAATCGATCCTTTCAAGGCTTGATGAGAGTTGGCATTATATTCACTCTTCAAAAAGAAGCCAAGACTTAAACTTATGATCTCAGCCTAAACCTAATTTTCGGTCTTTTAAACATTTTTAGCTTTAACAAAAATGAACAGGGGACATTTGTCTCCCGTTTCAATGTAAATGAAAAAGAAAATGCTAATGGATTGGTGACAAAGAGTGAATTATAATGTTTCTAGCATAAAAATACAGTCAAAAAGCCTAGTGTGTTCTTTACATTCCTTTTCCACTCCATCACAATGTGATCTGCCTTTATAAATCCCTGTATTTGTATTTATAGCATGTGAATCACTTTGCCATATTTTGCTTGCCTCCTATTAAAAAGCAGCCGAGCCAAAATAAAACCAAAGAAAGCCAAAGCAAATCAATTCTGCTTTAGAGTTCCCTTCTACTCCTGCAGTGGTGATATATCAGCACACGTGGAAGGACAAAAGCAAATGCATTTCTGTTTTAATTTAAGAAACAATTTCACTCCTTTACTGCAAGTGTTTATACAGTCCTTGAAGAAAAGTAGCTCTCCAAAAGCTGATGGAATTTTCCTTCCATTGTTTTCACACTTTGGCTCCTGGAAAGCCAAGTGTAGCACCAGTATTAGAGCTACACACCTGACCAACATGTCCTTCATAAACTCAGGTTTGTTAGGGCATATCAAAGCTTTGATGCACATTATAACCTGCACATAACCTTTGTATGATATCAGATAAAATTCAAGTGCAGTACTACAAATTTCCATCCAACAATTTCAAATTGATCTGCTAAAAATAAACTCTAATAACAGTTATTTTTATTTCATTAGTTTTTCTTGTAGTGTGGAAAATAAATTACCAGCGAGCTACCACTACTCAGCTTTTGTTTCTTTGATGGGATAATAGTTGCTGGAATATTAATCACAAAAAGAGAACTACTTTGACAAGTTTATGAAATATATTTAGAACTGAGAATAAACGTGCACTGGTAATAGTCAGAAAAATATCTATCGATAAATCTTTGTCACAGTTTCTGGTTGTACTGAAGCTACCATTTAAAGAATAAATGCCATAATAAATGCTATTATTCCAGAATAAAGCGGGAACATACTGGAAACTCACTATGCAAAGCTGGATCGCCATCACTGTGTCACCAACACACAACAGACAAGAGATGAAGCAGGATGTGCACAGTCACACCTTAAAACACTACCAAATATCCCAGCCTTCTGATTTCCAGTTCAGCACTTTTGTGCTAAAGCATCACCACTGCACAGACACAAATCCAGACAGGAGCAATACAGCCAATAAATTCCACTTCTTTTCTAATACAGGAGACAGGGTTATTTTCTTATAAGAAGACACATGAAAAAAAAAATGCTCTAGTTCAGACTCCAAAACTGAAAATGCTCATAAATTATCATACTTGTCCACTCATGCTGATCCACTTCTCAGACAGGTGCTACACAATCACAGATTCACAGATTCAATTAGGTTGGAAAAGACCTCTGAGACCACCAAGTCCAAGCTTAGACTGAACAACACCTTGTTAACCAGACCAGAGCATTGAGTGTCATATCCAGTCTTTGCTTAAACACATAAGGTGCTGTACATCATAGAAACATGGAATGGTTGGGGTTAGAAGGGACTCTAAAGCCCATCCAGTTCCACCCCCTGCCACGGGCAGGGACACCTTCCACCAGCCCAGGTTGCTCCAAGCCCCATCCAACCTGGCCTTGCACACTTCCAGGGATCCAGGGGCAGCCACAGCTTCTCTGGGCAACCTGTGCCAATCTGGTTGTCCTCTCCAAAAGACCAACCTTCCACAGGAGCAAGAACAAGAAAACATTCACAAACCACTGAGGAATATCTCAAGGAACACTCAGCGTTTTTCATACCATGCCTTAATCACAATTCCCCCAAATTAAAAACTGACCTTGGATTTTCCTGTGTTTTTTGCATGCAGCTCATCTGAGTTTTTATCTGTAATCCCTGGAGGAAATGTTACTTAAATCTAAACTTGAAGTTAAAGAAGATGAGACAACCTGAAATTCTTCATGTGTGTGCATTATAAATCACTAGAATTTCCTCCTATTCCCATACCTTGTGTCCCTCTCCTATTTTAGGTTACACAACACATAAACCTTGGGATCAAGTTGAAAACAATGACATTTATAATTCTGAAAACCTATCAGACAGATGCATTAGCTTTCCAAGTGCCTGGATGGTAGGATGCAGCTGTTGAGAGAGCAGCCAACACAGCACACCACGGAGATGGGAACGGATGGAAACCGAACCCAAGAAGGCAGATTATGCGACAAGTAATTAAAAGTTCCCTAATTGTTTTCTATGGCAAAAGAATATAAACAAAAATCTACTCCTATTTTTAAGGCAGATCTTCTAATGGCAGAGTCACACGAGCTGCAGTTTACATGAAGCAGGAGGGTATGGAAATAGCTAAACTCATTTCCTTTCAAAGGTGAAGTACAGTTCAGAACACAAACAAACAACCCCTCTCCTTCAGCAGCGGGAAAAGAACAGGGCACAAGGAAGTCCCATTTTAGCATAATGCAGAGTTTGTTTTTTTGTTATTTCATACTCCAAAAAGTACAAATAAAGAGTCTGCCAAAAAAACCACACAGGATATGAGATCTATCAGAACTTCATGGGTGAAAGGAACTCAGTTGTGTGTCATTTGTAACTTAAAAAACTGACCTCAGAGAATTTATTCTTTAAAAAAAAAAAGAGTAAAATCAAAGAACTACACCACCATATTCTTTACAGAATATATAATTTGCCTCAATGTTGGAAGAAAAGCTAATCCTGTTTCCTTGCTACACTACACCCAGTACTATTCCTGCTCCTCTCCCTATCATCAATAAAGACCACCAAAGGAACTCCCCTCCTACAGTTCATCCAACTTAATCTTTTACATTTTCCACATCCAAAAAAATCTCCACACCAAATACATAGGGATCAAAATGAGAAAAGAGGTTGAGGGTTTTTTCTGTATCTCTCTATACCTGCTCCACAGGTACAAAGTTTACCACACTTACCTTGGCTCGAGAACTCTTCCAGTGACAGCAGAGCCAGGCGAAAGACACAGCCCCTTCTAGACTTGGAAGTCAGATTAAAAATTCTACAGCTGCTCAGAAATTAGCAGTTAAGTTTGCATCTCAAAACAACAGTCCTGAAGGGAATGAAACTCATTAACCTCTGCCTTCTACAGCCTATTTTAAATCCAGAGTGGTGTTTGCCTGTTGAAATTGCTTTTTGCACTTAAGAGAGCCTACTGGAAACTGCTGAAGAGTTTTGCAGCAACACTGAGGCCACAAGAAAAAGTATCACATGAAATTACTTTCTCCCAGTAAATACATTCTGGCATCTCGCTGCAGTTGTTGGAACTCCTGTTTTGAGGAGCAGCAGCAACATTACACTGAGCTTTCCTGTCAGGAATGTCAGCAAACATAAGAACAAACACATCAAGTGCTTAAAAGAGTAGTTCATTTTCTCTCTCTCTGGTCCCTTAATCATGGCATTTTAACTTTTCATTTCTGGATCTAGTGAGAATTTTTAATTTAGTTCTACCTCAATAGCTGGCACAGCCTTCAAGTTCACATAAGAACCACTTAAACAAAATCACCTCACTGAAAACATGCCAGAAGAGCTAATTGTTCATACAGCACTTACAGGTGAGCCCTACAGAAACAAAGTATTACTAAAACTGAACAGTGTGGGGGAGAAAAAGGCAAGACCTGTATAATGTAGAAAGAAAGATGAGGCAATAATTGAGGTTGGATGTGCCACAAAGCTGTTGCAAATAACCCTGATAACTGCTGAATGTGCTAGTGAGAGCTTTATACACCTAAATATGAATTTACCAGGGCTAATATATAAAAGTGACATGCTAAATTATCGAAGACATGCTTTCATCTCATCAAACTCTTTACCAGCACAAAATAAATGCCCTGAGGTTTTCTAAAAACAATGAGGAAGAAAATTGAGATGTACAAACAAGATCAGTTGTGCCAAGTCCAAAACGTGAGATGTCTCATCAACACTGAGATGAAAATGTAAACCACCATTATACACTCCATGTGGTCAGCACAATTTTTCCATGGAGAAACAAACAATGAAAACTTATATATTGCAAGACAGAAAGTTTGAAACAGTGAACTGAACGCAGGACTTTTACTATAACAAATTGTTATGGCAGAGAGCAGTCTTATTATCAGGAATTCATTCTACCCACTGGAAAGATCACTAAGGTAGGGACTTAGGAAATTACATTTCTGTTCTTCAGTTGATGTAGACAAGATGATCAGATCATCAGAGTTTCCTCAGAAATAAAAGTACATATAGCACTACCTATTGGCAAAGGAGCAATTTATAGTTGCTAAATATTACTAACAGAACAAGGCAAAATGTGGTTCAGGTTGCAAAGCAACTGCTTAACAAACTGCTGGTTGGAAGAGACAACACTATTACTGATTGAAAATTAAATTATATCTTATTTTATAAAATTTACTTGGTCAGACAAGCATTTTTCTTCATAATACAGGAAACTGTTTGGTTTAATTTTTGTTGGGACTTTTAATACTCATTTCACAACAAGGAGTACTCAAGTGAAAGGTATGTAAATAAAACGGAATATCGGTAAACTTAAGCAAGACAACTTTAAACACTGAATACAATGTTTGTAAATTCACTTCTTAACCCTGTTTCACTGCAGTTTTTGTACCAATACCTGCTTGTTTATGACTCCCAAAAGCTAGCTCTCCCAGGATGCAAGCTCCTCCTCATTATTTTTACACAAATTTAATGGGAAAACTATCAAATGCTTCCATAAAACAATTTTCCCAGCACACACTCGATGGAATTGGCCCAAGTCTTTTGCATCAGGAAAGTGGGAATTATCACACAAAAAGCCACACTGTACCAGTAACATCCTAAAGAACTCTTGCTATCACACAGGATGCCCAGAAGTGATAAAAAAAGACCAGTGATACCTGTGAGCTTGATTTTGGACAAGCGTGCCAAAATTCCTGGCAACTCGTCCAGCCGCAGCTTCATTTCCTTCCACTGTCTGTCTTCTCTGGGCTCTGCTCTTGCTGCTGTGCCCGAGGCTTCACTTTCTGCAGGTGATTTCACTTCTCTCAGCTCATTTCTGCCTGATGTCTCAGGCCAAGGCTGATGAACAGGTGAAACTGGGCTAATCTTGTGGATAACCTTTTTTTCCTGATCCAGCTGCTGAAGCTCATGAAAAGGAGACACCACTGGATCCGACTGGGGTTTGGCTCGCTGGCTGAGGTCTTTGTTGTACTGAGTTACATACTAAATACAGGGAGAGAGGTTCAAATGAACAGGTGAGAAGATATTTTCATCCATTTTGTTAACATTTCCACCCACATTGTTAACACCACCAATATTATTGCTGTAATATTCTCACTGTCAGGAGAATTACTTCCTAGGATGACAAACCTGAGTGAGCCTGAATTTCAAACCCTTATTTCAGATGCAAAAAGCTTCTGGTCAAGACATTACAAGAGCAACTTTTTAGCTCACAACTGCATTAATGTTATTTACTTCTACTTGGAGAATTGCTTCTGGATAAATTTACTTCCTCCTAACAGCTTCAGCAGCAAATTCTACTTTGTTCATATTCAAAACCACCAGGTAATATCATTTGATTTACAACTGATCAATTCATAGAATCACTAAAGTTGGAAAAGACCTCCAAGGTCATCAAATCCAACTTTTGATCAAACAAAATTCACCTTTAAATAGGGAGATACACAAGTGCCCATAACCATTCCAGTTTCGCATATAAGCATTTGAGTTTTGCACCTTTAGTAGATGGGGAAAAAAAAAATCAGAAAAATGCCAGAAAATACAATCTACCTCCCACAATATAAAATCATCTCCCACATTACTCTATTACTATTTATGCCAAGCTTTATGTTAATTAACTAGACTGCAAATTTCAACAAGAGTTCAAATGAACATACTTTGAACAGAAAGTTAGCAAACAGTTGTTTCCCTCATTTAAAGGTCTCAGAATAGACACAGAATAAGAAAAAGACCATTTAGCTTCTCCTTTCTATTTTCTTCCCCAAAATATTCTACATATTTCAAGCACGAGAGGCATAAAAAGACAGCGCTTTCAACTAACCCTGGCTTAAAGTGCACATTAATAACTGTGCATATGAAACTCTGAATGAGTGATGTGAATACAGATCAAATCAGCAGTACAAGTAAGAATTTGAGAAGTGATGGTAACTCCAGAAGCCTGGAAAGATCCCCATCTCTTGATTCATAGCTGGACATGCTCCTTACAGGCAAAGCAGTCACTGTAAGTTTTCAGTGTTTCATAGGTGAAGCTCCAAAGTGCAACAAAGAAGTTGGTCAAAGAAGAAGATGCAATTTCAAAGGTTTGAATGATAATTACAGCATTTTTAATACCTAAAACTAACAGCACGCTGTAAATGAAACCCATTAACTTAACGAGCTCAGGAGTTTTGACTCAAATTAACTGATTAACTCACAACACACCTCCTCCGCTAGTGAGTTCCATCTACCACTCCTACGACTGCTGGCCAAGGTGTGACTTTCTTATTAGCATTTCTATAAATAACAATTTAAAAGTAGTTGTATTTCATGTTTTTCAGCAGGAGATGAGTGTCCTGCTGCAAAGGCACAGGAAGATTCCTGTCAAGGAGAGGAGACTCTGTAGCACAAGGAACTGCCCAGCCTCAAATGTTTTAGATACCAAGTGCTTTAACCCTGATTCAGTGAAAAAAGGAGACACTTGGAATTACCTGAGTTGGGTTGGTAAGAAAAATACTACTTTCATCAACTAATCTCCATTTTGACCTGGGATGAATGAGAAACACGGGATAAATCGACTTACCATTCGTTTGAGAAAGTTAAAGTACTGAAATGTGATCAGCCTGTCGTTGGCTGCCCGGCAGAGGTGCACGAACTGGCACGGGATGTGCCGTGTGCCAGCGCCCTTCAGACGCCACACAAACAATCCTATTTAAGGGAGGAAAGAAAAAAAGACAGCTTTAGATTCCAGTTTATTCTCTGCCACCGAGTCTGCTCCTAATTCAGTGTCTGCTCTCTGCTGTGGCACGGGACACCCCAACAAATGGGACTCGGGGCTGGTCAGGTGGGGAGAAACATTTGCTGCTCCAGGGGAAAGACTTGAAAGTGGAGAATGACAGAATCACTAAGGAGGGAAAAGACTTCTGAGATCATCATCCAACCACCACGAATCCACGTCCCTAAGCACCACACCCACACGTTTTTGGAACTCTTCCAGGGATGGTGATTCCACAACTGCCCTGGGCAGCCTGTGCCATCCAGGAGGATGAAGTCATCCTCCCTAGTATCCAATGTAAACCTCTCCTAGCACAACTTAAGACTGTTTCCTCTCATCCTGTACCTGAGAGCAAGGCCTCACCCCCACCTGGCTCCCCTCTCCTGTCAGGGAGTCGGAGAGAGCAAGAAGGTCCCCCCTGAGCCTCCTTTGCTCCAGGATGAGCCCCCCCAGCTCCCTCAGCTGCTCCTGCTGCTCCAGCCCCTTCCCCAGCTCATTCCCTTCTCTGAACCCACTCCAGCCCCTCAATGTCCTTCTTCTCACGATGGGCCCAAAACCAAACTGTAGGTATGCTCTAATGTTTTTCTGTGCTTTCTTCCAAATCTCTCAGCTCCCTGAGATGCACTTTCACAGAACCACAGAGCATGTGGAATTGGCAAGGACCCACAAGGATCACAGAGCTCAGCTCCTGGTCCTGCACAGGACATCCCCAAGAATCCCACCATGTGCCTGAGAGCGTTGTCCCAACACTGCTTGAGCTCTGTCAGCCTTGGGGCTGTACCATTGTAGAACAGCAGCCTTATTTCACTACTATCTATCTCTACATACTATTGACAAAATTGTTCGGCAAAGCAGCACTGAGAGGAAGCAGTTGCCATGGGGCAGCACTTAGAGGACACAGTCCAGTGTGGCACTCAGGGATCCTCCATACATAGGGGCATACACAAGGATACCCCATACAGGGATCCCCCCCATATACACAGGGATCCCCCATAAAGGACACACACAAGGATTCCCTGTACATAGGGACACACACAGAGATTCCCCATAAAGAGGGACACACACAAGGGACCCCTACACAGGACACATAGAAGGATCCCTATATTGAAGGACACACACAGGGATCCTCCATACAGAAGAACACACAGAGGGATCTCCCATACAAAGGGATATATACAAGGGACCTTTATATGGTATATAAAGCACACAGGCAAGTATCCCCATACAGAAGGACACACACAGGGATCCCCCATACAAAAGGACTCACAGAGGGATCTCCCATTCAGAGGGATACACACAAGGGACCCCTATACAGGACACACACAAGGAGCCCCCCCACAGAAGGATACACCCAGGCAGCCCCCATATAGAGGGATACACACGGACCCCCATACAGAAGAGCACACACAGGGATCTCCATACAGGACATATACAAGGATCCCCTATACAAAGGGACACATACAGGGATCCTGCATACAGAGGGACACACACAAGGATCCTGTATACAAAAGGACACATACAGAGTCATCCATACAGGGCACAAACAGGTATCCTCATACAGGAGGACATACACAGGTATCCCCTATTACAGAAGGATACACGTGGATGTGCCTTACAAGGCACACACAGGTATCCCCATACAGAAGGACACACGTGGATGTGCCTTACAGGGCACCCCAGGTATCCCTATGGAAAAGGACACACGTGGATGCCCCATACACGACACACACCGGTATCCCCATGCAGAAGGACACACACAGAGTCATCCATACAGGATACAGACAGGTATTCTCATACAGGAAAACATATACAGGTTACCCCTATTACAGAAGGACACACACGTGGGTACCCCACGCAGGACACCCCAGGTATCCCTATGGAAAAGGACACACGTGGATGCCCCATACACGACACACACCGGTATCCCCATGCAGAAGGACACACACAGGGACACGCCGGTTCCGGGTACCGCTCTCCAGCGCAGCCCCGGGGTGTCCCCAGGGTGTCCCCAGCCCCGCCGGCCCCCTCGCCCCCATGGCCGCGGTACCTGCGAGCGCCCGGGGCGGGCGGGCGGCGCTCATGGCCGCGGCTGCTCCGCCGCCTCCCTCAGCGCCTGGGCGCAGCCATCTTCCAGCGCGACCTCCAGACGCTTTCCGGGTCGGCGGGGAGGAGGCGGAGCGGCCATTCCGGGGCCGGACCGGGGCTGGGACGGGGCTGGACCGGGGCTGTGCCGCCGTGAGGGGCGGCGGTCCCGGCGTGCCCGTAGTTTTACACACCTAATTTTGAAACTCCCCAGGCCGATAATGTGGAAGTGACACAGCAAAGCAGCCAAAGGCACGCTCTTTCATCTCGCCTAATTCTTTTCCGGCGCGAAATAAACGCGTTGTTTTTGTTTTGGCGGGTTTGTTTGTTTGTTTTGGGTTTTGGTTGGTTGGTTGTTTGTTTTTGAAAATAATCACAGAATCGCGGGATTGTTTGGGGTTGGGGGACCCCCCCTGGGGATCCCCAGTCCGTCCCCCTGCCCAGGCAGGGTCACCTGGGGCAGGTGACACAGGAACACCTCCAGGTGAGCTTGGAATGTCTCCAGAGAGGAGACTCCATCCCAACCCCGCAGCTGTTCCAGGGCTCTGCCTCCTCCGTGGAAGGAAGTTCTTCCTCATCTTGAGGTGAAGCTACGTTGTTTAATTTATAGCTCCAGTCACTGAGCACCATTAAAAATCTGGCACCATCCTCTGACACCTCTTGGAGATATTTGTATGGATTGATGGGATCCCCTCTCTATCTTCTCCAGATTAACCAAGCCCAGCTCCTTCAGTCTCTCCCCATCAAAAATGCTCCAGACCCCTCTTCATCTCTCTGGCCTCCGCTGGACCCTTTCCAGCAGCTCCTTGTCTTTCTTGCCCAGAACTGGACACAGCGTTGCATGTAATGAAGAAGAAAATTATGGATATGCAAACAAAACCAGCTGTGCCAAGTCCAAAACGTGAGATGTCTCATCAACACTGAGATGAAGCTGTAAATGAGCGTTCTACACTCTCTGGGGTCAGCACAGCTTCTCCATGGAGGAATGAACAATGAAAACGTAGACAATGTAAAACAAAAAGTTATCAAAATTAAACTGAATTCAGGACTTTTATTGTAACAAGTTGTTATGGCAAAGAACAACAGTTCTTGGGGGGTGATGTGGGTGAGGTTGGTCCTGCAGAGAAAGTCTCAGAGCAGCAGCTTCCCACCCAGTGAACCCATCAGTGACCCTGGGGATTTGAATTTGGGGTACAGGGACAGGTGACAGCATTCAGGTGGGAACTGGGTCCAGACAGGAGACCTCGGACACCTTTGCAATGAGGAAATGCCTGGAGCCCTGCTTGGAGCATCCTCAGAGCCTCTGCCAGGCACTGAGACAGTTCCCTCTGCTGTATCCCTGGCCTCATCCCAGGGATGCTGCAGGCAGGACATGGTGTCACCACTCAGCTGGATGTGGTGTCCGTGACACAGCAAGAGGGAGACCAGAAGTGCGTGGGGACATCGTGAAATACTTGTAAAACATCCAAGAGAGGGCTAAGAATAACTGAATTAATTCTATGGAGTCTCATTCCCAAAAGGATCCAAGCTTTAAAGAGCCAAAGGCTTAGTAAAAAAAAAAAAAAAAAATTATTCAAATAAAATCTGTATTTAGTTCCTAAAGTAATTTTGGAAGATGAAAGTTTGAATTCTGATACTCCTTGGTTGAAAATACACATTGCTGGGGGTTATGCTGAAGAGCTGACCAAGCTGTCACCTCATCCTGCCCTTGTACACATTCTGGGGGTGGCTGGATCCTGTGCTAAACTGACTCAAATTGCTGATTTGTAGAGGACAAATTGCTAATTTTGCTGGTTAAACTGTTTGTACTTGCCCTGCACAGGGGCTGATAGGTTGAAAGGTGGAGCAGGGCACAGAGGAAGGTCCTTGGACTGGAGTCTGAACAAAAAGGGAAGGGAATGGTTAGGAGTGCTCCAGCTGTAAAGCATAATTGCACCCCCAGGCATCTTTAAAATGTTTTCTCTTAAGAGTTTAAGTTCAGGAGATGTAGGCTATAAGTCACTTAAATGCTTTTGAAATTCATTCTCAATATTTTATCATGGAAATCTTCCTCAGAACCATCTCCCTCCCAGGCTTTCATTTCTTTATAGTGCTTAAATTCATGCAAAAGTCATCTTAAATCATTATTAGGAAGATAAAATGAAAACACTCACTCTAATTCACCAAGAATATCCTACTTTGAAGCATTTATTTCCACTCTCCTTCTATTTGGGGAGCTGGGGAGGAATTAGGACTTCACATTTCTTACAGTTAATATCCTGTTTTACTCAGAGTTCTCACCACTGAGCATATATCACTTCACAGTTCCTGTTTGTGTCTCTACTTTTTGTAACTTCCCCAGATCTGCCCTCAAATTTACACCTGCAAAAATAAAACAAGCATCACGCAGCAAACACACACAATGCTTGCACAGAGGGCTGGAATGGCTGGTTGGTTTCAGGGCAGTTTGGGTCAGAGAGGAAAAGGTTGAGGGAGTTGAGTGTTCTGTGTCAGGGCTGAGATTTAAGGTTTAATGATTTTCATTGCCTTTCACTGGGGCAATAAATTGCACCCCCGGAGAGAGGGGGTAGAACACTACTTTTCTAATTAAGGAGAATGTTATCCATGGGCCTCGAGACGGAGCAATACCTCCCCGTGAAACAAGAATGATGATTTAGGGAGCGCAGAATGTCACGTACCCGTTTGGGTTTAACCACTAGAACTGCTCCTAGAGAGACAAAAAAAAAGTAATCTTAGGATTTTTAGTGGACACAAGTGTCCAAATGTCAGAGTTGTATTTCAGCCTAAAAGGGCTCCAGGGGCTGTGGATCTCATCACTGAAGGTTCGGCTCTGCACAGCGCTGGTTCCACAGGAGCAGGCACCACCAAATGCTCCGGGAAGCACCAGGGATTACAGATTACAGAAGGGGAGCACAGCCCTCCCAGGGAGCTCCCAGCACCTTCCCTGCTCAGCTCTCACCCTCGAGCTCATAAAAGCCCGGGTACCAAGGTCACAGGACCACGTGGAGGGTTGCAGGATTGCAGGACAACTCATGTCCTGCCACGAGGTCACCACTGTGGGGCAGAACAATTCCCGAAGCATCTCCAACTTTTTGCTGACTGCCAAGATGGGCAGTTCCTCAGTGTCTGTGGTGCTTTCCCTGGTTATAAACCTGCACCTACGGGTCTGTTCTCAGGGTGATGCGAGGGGCATTTAACCACACGACTGCCATTAATGTTAATTATAGAGCACATATTAACAGCATTATACGATCCTTTTCCCTATTAGCACTATCATAAATCTGATTGGTGGGGCTTAATTAGAACTCAGCAGCAGAATGCAATGGTTTGATACACGAAAGGATAAATTTGTGGAGACAGCAAACTATTATTCTACTTTAATCTCAAAATCTCTCCTTCTCTTACTCATAACACCAACAAGGCTTCTTGTAAGATTGATTTGTTGTCAGAAAACGATTTAAAGACCGACTGTAAAAATATTACATTTTTCCTTGCTTCATAGAATGTGGCATTGATGTTAGAGCTCCACAGAGACTTGATGTACTTTCAGATAGGGAACTTTAAAAGCCAAGAGCAAAATAAATAAGATGGCATCCTGCTGTTATTGTGGTAACCTTTGCAGATCATTTCAGAACTGTGACTGGTGTGTAGCTTAGTAATACACCATGGGAGAAGCTGGAGCTTGGAACAATTGGTCAGCTAGAGCCCAACTCTATTTGCTTTTTGAGGGCCCAGGATGTAAAGGAAGAAATGGTGCCCAATGTGAAGGGAACTGGGACATAACAGAAACAGAGAAATAACAGATAAAAAGATCTAAGAAAGTAGTAAAGGCCAGGCCAGACTGTAATGGTAGAAAGCTGATTGACTGCTTAAGGCCTCTATATTGAGCCAAAGATCTCTGCTCAACACCTCAGCTACATCTTCTTGAGTCAGGGCTTGTCCCAGCTTCAGTTGGCTGAGAAACACCCAGTGATCCTCATGACCAGTTAAATATTTCCTTAAGTCACTTGCAGTGCCATGAATTTGGGGTTTTCTGGGATTTTTAGCACTGTGATGCACAAGCTGTATATTAATGCAAGATTGAAGCATAGGAAGTGTCCAAGGGCAGGTTGGATGGGGCTTGGAGCATCCTGGGCTAGTGGAAGGTGTCCCTGCCTATGGCAGGGGGTGGAATGAGATGAGCTTTAAGGTCCCTTCCAACCTAGGCCCTTCTGTGTTTCTGTGATTCCATATAGTAAAATAAAAAAACATTTTGCAACCAGGAGCAAAATCTACCGGTACCAACTGAGAGCCTGAAACATCCTAATTCCATGCTTTAAATACCTGCCCTCAGCAAATAACTGAGTGGAAAGTAGCAGGTAAAAAAATCCCACATCAAAACCCCCAGATCCTTTCCACCATCCCTATTCCAGTGTTTTGGAGTAGCTAAAGCTTCCAAGAATAAGTGAAATAGTATTCCTGGTAGATCAGGGTTCAGTAGCCTTTCTGAAGTGCTGTGCCAGACTGACTCCTTTCCCAAAGTAGAGTTCAAATATACCATAGGAAATCAGCAGAAGTTAGAAATTGCTGCCTCTTCCCAGCTGTCCAAGGTGCCCTTGTGCTGACCCTGGGGGATGCCATTTTTTGGCAAACCCTGTGTTGCTTGTTCACCACCTGCAGTGGACTATGAGCTATAATCTCTCACTTCAAGTAAAAAACTTCCAACCTTTCCTTAGGTAGAGCTTTGCCGAGGTCTGGTGTAAGTTCAGCTGTGATGAGATTTGGAGTTGGTGTAAAATGTGGTGCAAACATGCGGGTGATGGGGAATAAACAGCCAGGTGACTGGAGATGAACCCTACTGAAGGCAGCATGAGGGGAATCACCCCTAAAAAATGGCAAAGCCTGCTTTAGGGCAGCAGCAAACAGACATGCAGATCCACCAAGGAACTCCTTAACCTTCAGTCCCCCATCACATCAGCAATCCCTCCTTAACTCACCCCAGTGTTGCTGACAAACAGGGATACCTCATATCCCTTAAAGTTCTCCGCCAGAATCAACAATAGCTATT